CATTATGCATGCTAACTGAGGACTTCATCCTGCAAAAAAGTGATTTGCAACAAGCCTCAAAGTTATTTCTGATTCTGATCATAATGCTTATGTGAGTCACAAGACAACATACAGTAGAGGGTGTATTCACTAATTAGCAGCTAAACAATGGCAAAATTCAAGGAAGGTACCATTTAGTAAGTACTTTGAGATTGCCGAACACACCGCAAGACTTATGCTTTGAAAAGGTGTTGAAATGCGACTTCGCGAACAATCGTGACTATGACTTGCAAACTTCTTTTGTGTAAATAATGCTAAATAATGTTTCTACATTATTTTGAGCTTGCAAAAATAGCGTACAGCAATTTTGAAGGCAAAAATTCGAGCGCAGGCCCGCGGCTAAGTCTGTGTCGGGTGCGCTTTGAATACGAAAACTCGAATTTTTTCTACTGCTCACACTGCTGAGCATCTTTAAGATAGATGGAGACCTATCGCTTCCAAACCAGTCAAGAAACTGCGAAATTAGCCATAAAAACACATTCTTGGGAACAAAATACGCGTGAAAGTATTTTTTAAGTAAAAAGAGCAGATAAGCGTTTCTTATTAAAGTATGTCGCAGCTGGACTAAAGCCACTGCTTTGACTTTCGACTATGTATATGCACAAAAGACTTTGGAAGTCGAGAATTACTTTAGCGGACAAAAATCTTAGGTGGATCTATAGTTTTGGCCAACCTTCGAGCCTGCTTTTTTCGAAATTTTTGATTTTTCTCCTGAATAATCTAACGAAAGCGGGATCCGCTCCGGTCACTGATGGAAGCCTGTTGAACACACAGCTGTACCAAAATTCAGGTCAATTCGTTGAAAAGCAGATGAACTACGGCAGTTTTTTATAGTGGATCTATAGTTTTGGCCAGCACTGTAGTTGTCTGGTTGGGGGGGGGGGGGGTTGCATATTGCTACCCCGCATTGAATATTTGCTTAGTCCAACTGAAGATTGCGTATAGCGCGAGCCATTTTCACACGGTAATCAATGGAGATGCGGAGTATTCGCCATTCATAATTGCTGTGCGGAAGTGGGTAGACTTCATATATAGTTACAATATGATGTTCAAAACAAGAAGACGCAACAAGCAGGAATGAAATTACATTGGCATATTTTTGGCCCGAGCTGGCAAGCGATAAAGTAACTAGCTAGTCTTTGTTCTCGAACTTGCATCTTATCAGCGCTCGCAACTATCAGACTGCAGTCCATCATTCTAGCGCCTATGTGGTCTCCTGAAGCGGATTCCTTATTTGACGGTGAGTTGCCCTAAATCACTGTGACTGAGCCATTCGTAAAATGCTAGCCTTCTCAGCTCCTCCATGCTAGAAGTTTGCTTGTGCGAGGCGGCGGCTGTGATGACCCTCTTTAGCCCTACTCCCCATGACTCTTCGAGTGTTTGCTTTCTCGCTGGCAGTGACGCTTGGTGAAAGAGCTAAGTTTTTGAGCCATCTGCTCTACTTACTCTGTGAAGCTAGCGTCATCGTGAATAAGCAGCCTTGAAAGGTAATCACCTACTTTAGCATGGGCAAAAATAAAAAAAAATTTATCCTGTTATCTTCATGATTGGGGATTGTCCACTTTTATGAATTGTTAATTCTAAAAAAGCAGTCATTCTCCATTAGTTGTTTGTGCCAATAATGGAGTGGGGTATTTGCTATATCCCATGTAGTTTCTTAGATGTTATCTCATGCATATATTGTTACAGTTCTATGTGTTTCAGTTAAATGGCGGTTAATCACTTTTTGTACATGTAGTCGCTTTACAAGGAAATCATCGTGATTCATAGTCAGTTTTCACGTCTGTACCGAGCCCTGCATAGACTTTTATGTCCATACATTCAACTGCAAAATTCTCATTCATTTCGGTGGAGTCAAGACTCGTCTGTCGATGTTCCTACGAGGAATAACTGCTAGGCCTAAGATAAATGTAATGAATGGACCGGATAAATTGAATGTTTACAAAAGCTGGAAGATAGATTGACCAAGAACGTGGCTCCATCTTTTCTGATATATAGATTTTTGGGCATCGATCAGCCCCGTTTATGGAAATGAAGAATCAGGTACAGGAATATACAGCGTTTCTGTGTTAAATGGTTGCGCCTTGCAATTCATTCGGGAAGCTTAAGCATTTTGTACTTCCCACCCAAAGCGAATGCAGGAGAAAATTTAATTTTACAAATCTCTATTGTTGGTGCTTTCTTTTGGGCTTAATCATCAAAAGCAGGGAAAAGGGATAATTACGCGATCCTCACTGCTGGCGTAATGAATGTAGATCTCTAAACATAATTACTCAAAAAAGTCATGCGGACTCTTTCCGCGCATTTTCACTGTTGGGACAGGGCAGTACTGACTTTTTCCATGTCATAAATTTCGCTACTCCAACCGATAGCCAGCAGACGATATCAGCATATAAATCCGGACATCCTTGGATATACCAAGCATAACCGTTTGCGAATTAATAGGGTCATTCGCAACATCAGCTGGTGGCAAGACGACCCCTCTTCAAACAATGGTCACTTCATAGTAAATGAGCGCGGATATCTAGACGAGCTGCGGAGGACTGAAGTGTCTTCAAATGTGGCTGGGAGTACATGAACACGGCGAGCTCGTAACATCATTTTTGAAAATGAAGGAATTGGACGGACTAATGGGGTGGATTGATGTCTTGCGAATGTCTTCTATGTGGAGTCTTCATCTTTTCATGCGAAATCGTCTGTCGGGACGTCTTCACAGCGTTCAGGATTCAGAATTCAGAATACCGTGCTCAGGGGCATCGATCCGCGACGTCGGCCGGCGGGGCAGCCGCGATTGGCGGAGGCGCGAAGGCGCCGCCCCCCTCGGCTCCTGTGGCTGGCGGCGGTGGAGCCAGTGGGAGACTCCCACAGCTAGATCCTCTCGGGCCTTGGGCATCAACGTGTGAGCGGTTCCCATCCCACACTACTCTTGTGTCGGCGAACGAGAGATTCCCGCCATGGATTACCAGACGGCATCTTCAGCCACAGCGACTGCCCCTCCTCCTGCACCTTCCGGTGCGGTCGATCCCCATCAGTACTGCGATGATGCCTCTTCGGTCACCAGGTCCCTCACCTATCATCTACCCAAACAGGAGGTTGCATATCATCTGCCCAAGCAGGAGGTTCCGTACGCCAATCCGTACTACTATCCACCGCAACCAACCGATATGTGGAACATCGGACAGTTTCCGTGCAATTTCCAGGCTCCAGCGGTGGCACAACCATCGCAGATCCACCCGCGACATCTACTCTATGGACAGCAAGGCCTTGCTCACTGTGGCATGGGTAGGTCTTGGCGATGTTCACCTGACGTTCTATGTGCTCTGAGGGAAAATCATAAGCGGCGCAAGTTTGGAGCCATCAACGTAATCATCGCGCAAAAAAAAATTGCCGGTATATCACCTACTAGAAAATTGACTGGGGATTTAACGAAGAATTAGATCATATCGAAAATTGTGTTCCTTGGGGCCATGACCAATATGCATCACACAGAAATCGTCAAACAACCAAGGCTGCATGTGATGCATCTCTTATTTCTCTCTACATCGTTTATACTTAGCTCCAGTCCTATTAACTTTCGAATAAGTTTCAGTCTTCTGTTCGAGTATTCACATGAAGCATATATGACCTAATATGATAACTTCTTCCAAATAATTTCGCGGTTTTTGTTTTGGAACTAGTTCTGATGCCCCTCTCAATCATTTTGCAACTTATGATTTGTACGTGGCCCTATCCTTTTTTAAGTAGTAGTCATTACCGCTGCTTTCGTTAAGTAGTGCTTTTATCCGCTCACCAAAAATGTCTTCTTCACTTAGAAAGCTTTTCTAACACTTTTTCGCGGGGTCCCAATGCGGAGTTCTTGAAGCTGTGGTTAAGTGTAATAATGATCCAATCGGTATGCAACTGAAACACATTGAGCTTATGGGTGGTAAATTTGGTTTTGCTGATGTGATTATGCGCATTGTTGTTCCAGGCTTTAGCTTTGATTTTTGGCAGATTCTTTCAGTTTTATCACACGCGGCTCCATTCTCGTTGGCTTTTTAGGCACGCAAATCAGAACTTTTTAAACGAAGTTTCCTTTTCTACCCTGAAATCTCACAAATAAGTCCTCCCATCAGATAAGTCGTGTACAGATAAGTCCGCCTTCAGATAGGTCCCCTTTTTTGTCTCAGTTAAGGCCCTTCAGATAAGTCCGCTTTTCTTCCATTATAACTGCCCTGAAATCTTCTCAGATAATTCCGAAGACTGTCAGATAAGTAAGTCCGAATTTATCTGTAGGCGGACTTATGGGAGGTCTTAAGGGCAAGATTCTTGGCGGTGCGAGGATGCATTTTCATCGATTTTTCTTGTCAAAAAGGCGGACTTATCTGTAAGATTTTAGGGTGAGCTAGTCATCCTCTGCATAGAATTAAAGCTGATTATGATGTTAGGCTTCTTAAGGCGTTGTAGGCTTTGTGCTTGTGCTTGAACACCGGGAAAATAAAATTGTATGATTTATCAGGGCGAGCTGTGGCGTCTTCTCTCTATCTTCTTTTTATAAATGCTAGTTTACTCCTTTCCAGAATTCATGTCATATACTTGACTGACATATTCAAATTCTTCCACATAATCAAAACCACCAAAATATAACAATGTAGTTTGCAACAAAAACTGTAGCAAAAGCTTATCATATAGCATAGTTTTTTGGCTCACGTGCATCAAACTGATGCTATCCGCAGTCCTTGTTAGCCTAACCTAGGTTATGGTAGCTTATGAAGCGTTCGAATACAAAGCGGCAAACCCTGAGAGACTTATTTGAATTATATGGACCTTGGTGGTCGTTTTTGCATTGGTAACTCCATTGTTGTGCGAGGTACAAAGCAGCGAAGTATGGGAACAGTGTTCAAAGCGATTGCGCTGTTATGCCATACGCGGGGCTTCGTGTGTGGTTACGTTTTGTACACGCTATGATAGAGGCGTTTCAGATCAGTTCTACAATGTATCGGCATCGTCGTCGTTTCTCGGCAGCGAATTCGATGGGTCTTCTGGAGCCTACTCATCGCTTATACAACCGGTAGTGCATTCTGCACCGTTACAGCTTGCCATAGGCGAGACACCACAGCCTCTAACAAGGTAAATTTTTTGATGACTTAGAGATCCTTGAAAAATTTGACTCCAGTCTTTTATTTAGTGAAAGAATGGCACAATATCTATGCAATAGGGATCAATATGACTGCATAATTTCCATTTTCCATGCAAAAGTTGCGCAGAAATCCTATGGAAACGAAAAGAGGTTGGCAACGCTTATATATTTCATCAATTTTCCGAGAGGTAGTGAGAAGCAGCAAAAAAATTCCATAATTTCCCGACTCATCTGTTTCAACTTAGCGGCCTTGTGAGACCAGAATTTTTATTTGAGATAATATTCAGTTTCCTCCTCTTCTATATCTAGGCCTCTGTATTCATTCCTCTGTATTCCTCTGTATTCATATCTCTGAATTTCTAATGCCTAGGATGGGCACTTCTCAGAGAATGCTTAGAATTCCGCATAATTTGAGTGTAGCTCCTTTAGCGTCAAAATTTGGTGAGGAGGTCTCCTCAGATCGCCTTCATGTATGAAGGAACTATCTTTCATAGGCCATCATTATTCTGTAGAATTCTGCTTCCCTGACTTTGGCTATGATTGGACAAAATTAGTTTGCTAATAGTCAGCTTCAGACTACCGCTTTAACATTGTTTTACCGCTCTATCTTTCTTTAAAAAGCACATTCGCCAGTTCGTCTACTAGTCCGGCAATGATTGGTGGCAAGTACTTCTCCTTTCTTTTCTGGTTTAACCACCAAGCACAAATTTCGCTTCGCTGCTGGGTTTTTAGTAAAGTTGTCAGGTGCCCGAAGCGCAAAGGTGGCGACGTGCACCGTCACCATCTCACGACCACCTGGCAATTGGGCTGTTGTTTGCTCAAGTAGAGACGCTACTGTTTCGCGCGTGTTGTCAGCTGGCTGCTCGAGACGTAACCCTAATCGCTGACACACTGCTCAGCTTATCTCAATTAGCATATGGAGCACACAGTCTGCAGATTTGCGGGACTTGCTTAATTGACGCAGATCTCTTAAATGCGGTGGAGCGCAGTTCGACCATTAGCGCTCCGTTGCTACTTCAAGTATACGGTGGCCGCCTATTTGCTGAATTCAACAAATATTGGGGGCGCACATACAGTATACCTCGCTAGCTGCACGCTTGACTATTGACCGATTCTAGGCAGTCTTTTGGTCGATGCGAGGAATTCGGGGCCGTGAAGAAGGAATTTGATTATGAATAGAATAGATAATGTGCGCCGATTTTCACACAATAAAGGGACATATTGCTGGTAATTGGCTAATAATGCATTGCCCTTATTCATATGTGCAAAGAAGTTACGGTAGTCATCGCAAAGCCGTTGTTTTTGTGGATATTACACGTTACCTAGCGAAGTTCCCATGATTCTGCCCCTCAGATCTTATTCATTATTCCTTCGTAATGAACTACATTATTACTACAACTCTTTGTTACATATACTTGATAAATTGATTTCGCTTCGGATTACGGTATTTTCCCACGATTTGAAAAAGTGGTAAACATTTGGTTATATTATATAATTATGTTGGAGCTACGAATTACTACTCGTATATGTATCTTGAGCAACGTTTTTTTTGTATGAAAAGATAAAGAAGAAATATCAGAAAATAGAGAAATCAAGCTATTGAGGAGACAATGGTAGAGTTGAATGAACTTAAAGACTGTTCTTTATCTTTATCAGGTTTGAGTTTGAGGGGACTGATATATCAAGGGTAAAAAAGATTTAAAACACTTTCATTCTGTTTTTGCATTTGCCGAATTCTCAAATTCGTTTTGGACGCTAATTCACTGACTGCATCTCATTTCAAGTTGTTAAAGCTCTCAATATCAAATATTTTCAGGTTTTTCTGCCCTCCACCTTGCATTTATTTATTAGGCGAAGGATGGAAAGAAAAACGAAATCGAGTATGCTTACATTAGATTATAAAAACTTTCTCGAAAATACTCAATTTTTAGGTCGAAGCCTTATACAAATCATTTAAAGAACATCAGAAAAGAATGGGTGTTGCGCCAGAGTTAGGCCCAGAGCATGAAAGGATTTCAGTAAGTTAAAGACACAACTTGATTAGTTTTTAGTAATGTTAAAGTTTAGGAACAACAAGCCAGCGAGTTGTGCGCCTTTATTGGGATTGGCGCTCCATCAGATCAGGAAAGGCAGCAACTTGACTTTTCTAACGGCAAGGTTCGCGTCACCTTTAGGCCTTGCTGTGCCTTTGTCATCCTTTCCATTATAGGATTACTGCGCCGCCAAAACTCTCTACATTAGCGACTCTGACAAGAGGAAATACTTTGAGTTATCTATCCAATTCTTTTATGGATGTGGCGTTGAGATCGGACTTTTCCTATCTCAGAGAATAAAGGTAAACTGCCTTTATCCGAGCTGGGTTCATTGGTGAGACATCTTTAAAGATACGACGAGTTTAGGTCATCAGCAAACCGTCAAAGAAGAAGCAAAGCATGAAGAACACCGATTGTAAATACCTATGCATCGCATCGGGAACTAAGGTGGTTTTTCGAGAGCAACGTTCGCTTTCCAGAAGCCCCCAGCATTTTACCCTGTTAGCGGTGGAAACGTCAATTTTTTATTTTAGGTAGCGCTCTTCAATAGGCTTCGTTCTCAAACAGTGAGCACACGTTACCTCCATGTGGATAACGGGGCATTTCATGCGAGCTCTACCAAATGGGGAGCATTCACAATACATCTATGTATGTATCTGAGTCACTCTAACTTACATGAAAAATTCATTTTTCGTTCCAGTCGATGACGAGCCTACAGCTCCTGAATCGGAGAACTTCACTGTCAAAGATGGTTTTGTCTACTACGGATCTGTTGTGAAGCTGGTTGATAGTGTGACTGGTATAGCACTGCCTCGTCTTAGGATACGGAAGGTATTTGCTTTTTAGATAAATCTCCAAATGGTTCAAATATGATTTTTAAGGTCGATAAGCAGCATGTGATCCTCGATGCGACGACAAATGAAGAGCCAGTGTCGCAACTGCACAAATGTGCTTTCCAAATGATCGACAATGAGACCGTTTACCTTTGTCTCAGCCACGACAAAATCATCCAACATCAAGTGAGCTTTTTGGATTTTTTTCGTGCTACTTTCTTGGAGCAATGCGAATTCCTGAAGCAGCAGCAAGAGCTCATCGATTTCCGGCAGCGCTAGCTACCGTAATCCGGTTCTCGTGTTTACGCTCTCGATACATTATCCGCGACCCAGTCGGCTGGCCGCTTTCTCACATGTCTCAATTATTTGCTGATTTCACCCCTTCTGGATTCTTGATGTGCTGATTGAGCTGCTATAGTCTCAGTTCTATCTTTTAGGCCACTCCTATCGATGCAACACATCATCAGATCAGCGATGGAGCTGCATGGACTATCATATCTACAGATAAGGTTGCTTAGGCAAACGTGTAGATATTTTTGTGGCCAATGACCCTTTCTTTTTAGGCGGAATATCGTTTCTACGAAGCTATGGGCCCTGTATCACAACCGATAACTCCCGTTCCTGTTGTCAGCGGATTGGACATAACTGGTAGCGACTCCATGGCGCGAGTCGAGCTAACAGGCTATAATATGAAGCCGAATCTGAAAATATGGTTTGGAACAACTCCAGTAGAAACGATATACAGGTTAATTTTTTTCATGAATGTAATAGGTTATGAAATAACACTAACAACTTTGAAATCTGATGCACTGAAGTATCATTCTCGGAGCCGAAATTCTATGGTAATGAAGCCTGACCAAAATTGAGCAACCTTACTCATACTCATTTTTTTTAGACTTTCTGGTGATCGTACAGTCATAAGCCGCTGCATTGAAACTGGCATTTGAAACATATAAGACATGCTGTTTCTTGTGATCTAATGCGCCACTTTTACACTGTGATGTGCTCCCAGAGCCATACGGTGCCTTCTCCCTATGCACTACGATTCAAGAAAAAACCGATCTTGACTGAGTAGCTGGGAACACTTAAAGGTCAAAAGGCCATTATTTGGGTCTGGCATCTGTAGTCGTTCTTCCAATGCAGCTCACTTCCAAATGGTTAGCTTAGTTCAGTAGTTAGTGTCTGCTAATCAGCGCTGGATAAGTTATAGCTTTAATTTTTGTAGGGAATTTCGAACAAAATAAAAATATGTTCTACAGCTGTGCAGCGATTGAATATAGAACGATGCGGAGTAATTTTTATGCTTACAGAAGAGTTTATTATCGAAAAAATCACAACAACTTCACGCGTTAAAATTTTATTATGGGATACACATATTTTCCAAATTTTGGTAATTTCATTTTGCGCTTTCAGGTCAGACGAGTCACTCACATGCCAAGTTCCATCCCATGCGGTAATCAAAACCGAAGCATCTGGATGGGATTTCAACGGGGACGATGCGGAGGTGCCGATAACCCTGGTCAGGGATGATGGAGTCATCTACTCGACACCGATGATGTTCTCCTACAAAACGCTCAAAGTGCAGCAACGACAACCGCGCTATGGCGACTCATTCAACTAACGGCGCTCATCCATTCGGATCGACCCTCTTTTCTAAACTTCGTTCCACTGATAGATGGCTGTACGGTTATTTCTTTCTATATTATCACATTTTATCGCTGTTCTCCTCCACACTTTTTTTTCAGCAAGATGATCTGTCTACGAGTCCCTTTAGTAACTGTTCTGGTAACAACATTGCATAATTTCTCTTACAACTTTAATAATTGCAGAACAGAGCTTGCAAATTTATCCTGGGATGATCTCGTAGGTGCATCATAGCAGCAGGTGAAGATATGGCACTAGTGAGTGCTCATAGACCCGTGTCCCTTACTCGGTGTACTAACAGACAAATTCCCCCCGAACTCCACCTTCCCAGGTGTTTTCACCTCAAAACGACGCCCCTCTAATAAGACTGGGTCAGATGATTGGCATAGCTCTAATCACTCGTTCGTTGTGCATTCAGTCTGCTCATTGATGTTTCAGTTTGTCACTGTAAATAAATAAAGTATTGTACTTTTTTGATTTTCATGAACACTACTTCATATTTATTAGCCCTACAAGTATAGTATGCTTTGAACTAACTGGAGGCAGTGTTCTAGCAGATGCTTACCTGGGTTTTCATAAATCGCCTAGGAGGCTTCTACGAAGCTTCTGCTTTAGCGTTAGTTTGTACGATTTATTTCTAGCTTGTACAGGAGTAAAATCCACGAAAGTGTGTTCAAAATGGGCTTTTCGGCCAATGGAACGCGAATAAAATGGGCTTAGTCCATGCGGTGCGATATCGCATCCTCGAAGTCATTCATTCCATACAATAATGCTCTAGGAAACCCTTTTTGTCGCAACCTGTTACTTATTCTTGTGAACCCATTGCTATCATACTAGTTTAGCCAAGCTAGACCTAACATAACGCTGTCACTCTTGTGGAAATTCTATTTTTATCTCATTAACACCTCACAAGATGCCATCTATCGTCGATGACTATGGATCACTCAAATGCTTTCAGTATTACCCAAATCGAAGTGATATCCAAGATTTTGTTTGTACAACATTTCTATGAATTTGTCTCAAACTAAAACAGTATGCATCGCTTTTCTGCAGAAAGCAAATTTCTGCTAGTCTTGTACTGCTGTCTGTGAATCAAAATGCGTAGACTTCTAATTTCGAACCTTGTATTATGCTTGGGGAGATTTGAAATTTTCCACCGAATGAATGAATAGAATAAATTCGAGATTTGAAAATTTTCGAACGAATGAATACCGAATGAAATTGAAGAATCAAAATTATCGAAAGAAAGATTATCGATTATATTCGAACATTGAGAGTCGAATTTCGAATAAATATTCGGATGAATTATCGAATATCTAAAGCAACCATATCTAAAGAACGCGAATATATCCGAATGATCGAATTTCATCGAATTTTCAATCGATTCAAACTCAAGTATACCTTGTACCACACTACAGCCTGGAGGGCCCTGTCTTGAGTTAGAGAAATACAGATCTACAAAAAACTGAAAAGTACAATGTTTGATCAAAAAGACATTTCCCAATGCTACTGGCACCATATCAGCAAGAAAAAGGTCCACATGTATTTCCTGCTGCAAAACTTTGATCTAGGAAGCTGGGAGCTGGTACAATGGGGTAAGTGAGGGTGCTGATTATGAATATCTACTCTATAAATTTTATCAATATTTGGAAAATTTTGAGCTACGGTGCTGGGAGTTGGTACGATGTGAGGAGATTGAAAAAAGAATCTCTTTTATCGATTTTACCGACTTTTGACAATCTTGAGCTACGACTAGGAGTTGGTGGGGGGCGCTCGTTGCGTGCGGGCTGCCCATCGGAAAGCGTCGCAACGCGGCGTTACAGTAACCTCGCGCGGGGAAGTAGTGCAGCAAACTTGTCAAATCTATACACCTAGATCATCAATGTTTCTTCGATACTGTTAGTCTTTTACATTCAAGAGTTTGTGTCTTTTCTGTCCTCCAAAATGCTTATTTTACAAGATTTGTGGGTAACTTCAAATATTTAAGCACTGACATGTTCGATAATGCACTCTAGTTGTTGGCGAGGCAACATCATATTAGACAATACATTCAAAACCCTGCGGAAGTACTGGCATGTCAAAGTGCTGCGGAACCGCTGGCATTTTTCGGAAGTTCCGCAGCGCTTTGTGTAAAGCCCTACGGAAGTTCCTGTTTTCATCAGTCTAACGTGAAAATTCTGTGGAAGTTCTTTTCAACATTTCCACTTTCGCAATAGCAAACAAAATCCTGTGGAACCGCTGCAAATTTTGCTTGCCCTGCAGAGTTCCGGTGAATTGTCTGACAAGGGATCGATCCCAACCTAAGGTGGCGAATTGGAATGAGCCGCATATCATTAGATGCGTCTTTACGAGCTGATTCCAAATCTACCTTCCAAATTTGCGATGCCGTTCTCTGCAAAAAGTTATGAGTGGCTGAAAATGTGAAGTCATTGGGGTTTCAATGCATAATGTGCTTCAAAATCCAACTTGGAAGTGTATGACTAGCATGATATTGAGTGTAATGATTTCAAGGAATGCTCACATTTTAAAGAAACACACAAATAAGTGTTCTTGAACAACTAATTTTCGAGGTATGGCGCTGTATATTTGCCAAATTTGGACTTTCATTGCACATAGCTTTTACCGAAGAAATTTAGTTGCCTTTTTAGTTTAAAAACACTTATTTGTGTTTCTTTTGAATGTGTGCATTCTTTGAAATCAATACACTCAATATCACGCTAGTCATGCACTTCCAAGTTGGATTTTAAAGCATAATGATATGCGGCTCATTCCAGTTCGCCACCTTAATTTGGGATCGTTCCCTTGTGAGGTTTCCGAATATTATTCGAAAGTCGAATACTCGAAGATTTCCATTTTCGGATAATGCGATACTTACTTAGATACTTAGATGGCCCGGCTTCACGTGACGTGCGGGCCCCAGCTCAGAAGTTTCCATTTCTCCCTGTCCCTCGCTTCTGACATCCACGATCTTCTTGGCTGACGTCGGTGGCTGCGTCCACGAGTTCCAGGTGCAAAAATCGTATCCAGCTGATTTCTCAGCTGGTCCATCCGTTCCACGAACACGTCTGCCCATCTCGTTGGTGGTCTTCCTCGGGGACGTTTTGCTTCGCGAGGAATCCACTCCGATGTTCTTAGTGTCCATCTGTCGTCTGTTCTTCTCATGATGTGACCGGCCCATCGATGCTTCGCTTTCGCAACGTAATCCGCTGGGTCACGAAGACGGGACATTCTCCTCATATCCGTACTGCGAAGTCCGACGAGATGTTGCTTGTGTCGGGTCATCTTCAGAAGACTACGCTCTAGCGCTCTGTGGGTGGTCCTTAAAGCTTTCGAAGTGGCGACGGTGTCAGCCCAAGTCTCAACTGCGTAACAGAGCGCCGGGAGAACGGTTGAGTCGAACAGGTGGGCACGAAGCTCCGGGTCCTTCAGTTGGTCGGCGGCTTCCTTCAGAGGCCCGAAGGCGGCCCAGGCTGTTCTTCTTCTCCTGTTAAGTTCTTCCCTCAAGTCGTTCTCCATGTTCATCGAACGTCCGAGATACGCGTAAGAAGACGTCTCCGTGATAGGGGTGCCTTCCAATTCCATTTCTGCATCTTCGCAAAGGGCGTTCTTCATGAACTGAGTCTTCTTCCGATTGATTCGCAATCCGATCTTCTTCCCTACTTCGTTCAGTTCCTTCAGCATCGTCTCTGCTTCAGTGATACTGCTCGAAAAGAGAACGATGTCGTCCGCAAAACGAAGGTTCGACAGGAATCTCCCATCAACTCGTATGCCTCTCTCGTCCCAGTCCAGTGACTTCATCACCCACTGCAAGGCCGCGGTGACAGCTTCGGCGAAATTGTGTCGCCTTGTTGAACCCCCTTCCCAATTGGGATGGTCAGGGGGCGATGGAATAGCTGCATCGTCGTTGTACAGTCCTTGTAACAGTCGGCTAACGTCCTCACGTAAGCTGGGTCCACTCCTTGATCGACTAGCGCAGACAGGATGGCGTTGGTTTCGACGCTGTCAAAGGCTTTCTCGTAGTCGACAAAGGTTAGGACGAGAGCAGTCGGTATTCCCGGCAGACTTCTATGACCCTCGAAACCGTCTGGATGTGGTCCATGCAGCTGAATCCTTTGCGAAATCCAGCTTGTTCTTGGAGTTGGGCTTCATCCAGTGTCCTAGATATGCGAGCGAGGATAATCTTCGTGAAAAGCTTGTACAGCACACTCAGCAGGCATATTGGACGGTAGTTCCGAAGATCTTCCCGTTCACCCTTCTTGAAAAGAAGGACGGTTCTTGATGTTCTCCACTGGTCGGGAATCCTTTCCTTCTGAAGGAGTTGTTAGGTGCGACGCGAGGATCTCGTGTAGACGTTGTCCTCCAGCTCGCAGAAATTCGACGGAAAGATGGTCTGGTCCTGGAGCCGTGGACGTCTTCATGGTCTGAATCGCTGTGCGCACTTCAGCAGGTAGAATTCGTAATGGTACTTCTCCAGTGGGAACAACGGGCATCGGCACGGGTGTTGATGAGCGGAAGAGGTTGGTATAGAAGTTCTTCGCGATGGATTCCATCTTGTATCGGGAAGTCGGAGTCCCGTCTTCGTTCAATAGTGCAGCCAGCGGTACGCGATATTCACAGAGGTCCCTTCGGCACTTCTTGAGACTTCGTCTTTCTTCGGCTGCTTCCAGTATCTTGGCTTGCCTGTACTTCCTGAGATCCTCCTGCAAAGCTGTTCTGCAACTGGCGTTGGCTATGAGTCGCTCGAGATGGGTTGCATTCGGATCCTGCCTCAGAAATCTTCTTCTTTCAAGCATTTCCTTGGTGGTCTTCGAAACGCGTTCAACATACTTCTCGGAAGTCACTGAGGCGCACTCTCCGCAGGCTCGCAATCCTTTCAGAAGCCGGTCGTAGTCGTGCGCTGGGTCCTCCTCGATGGGCCAGTCACAACTTGACATGAGCTCCTCCGTTACCGTCATAAACGACATTCTTCCTTCTTGCGGCACTGTGGCAGACCTTCTTTTCCAGCCTTCGACTGAATCGTACCTTCGCTCGAAGGAGGCGGTGATCGGAGCCACTGCAGAAGGATGGAACTACTGAGATATCGAGCAAGCTCCACCTTCGGTTGGTGAGAATGTGGTCGATCTCCGCGTGGGTCGATAATACGATATTTGAAAAAAAAATCACGGATTTCCCTAAATACAATGTATCCGCCTGAACATAGGACCCATGAGAGAGGCCATGGTGATCAATATGCTGAGCAGAGCTTACCAGTATACTCACCGTGAAGCTTGAACGCAATAGCTTGAGTTACTACTAGACCATGCCAGGTAATCACTTGTTACACGCTTTGACATACACACGTTCAGACCCTGCTTTTGGGTACTACAGTCGGTTTCATCCCGGATTAGGCGGGACATTCTACGAAGAGCAGCGCGTGAGCATCGCTGCGGGCATCGCGAGCGCATAGAGTTGGCATTTTGCCAAGCAAAGATT